GATTAAGTCCCTCATTTGGTTAGTCGGTAGAATCAACAAGTGCCGCATCAAATATGCTTCCACTGGATATATCATACTCCTGCTATAGACAACAGCATATAACTTAATGTCAGATGAATGGTACTCAATTGTTTCCAATACAAAAGGAGTAGAATGATCATATAAGTTGCCAGCAGTTTATGTTCAAATTAATAACCATTATAAAACCTGATAACTATACGCTGAGAAAAATTATTAGATTTAACAAACTGCAGAGCTAAGCTTATGGTAATTGCTTGGACATAGGTTGGCCAAGATGTTGTTGGAGAACTCACAAAAGCTATGAAAAGAAAAGGCGTTGATATGCGGGTCTCAGCTCTGGTGAGTTTATATGGTGCCACGGAGGAATATTATTCCATTTAAATAGTGTGCGAGGAAAAAAGATTTTGATAGCACTGCTTATCAGAAAAGCACGTTAGTGCTGCTTAGTTGTAAAGTATTGATTTTGACTTCTGTTTTAATGGAAGGTGAATGATACTGTTGGTACGTTGGCTGGTGGTAAATATACACACAACGACGTAGCTGTTGCTGTTATCTTAGGTACAGGGACCAATGCAGCTTATGTGGAACGGGTGCAGGCAATTCCAAAGTGGCATGGTCCTGTGCCAAAATCTGGTGAAATGGTTAGGATGTGTTCAGTGACTTGATCTTCTTTTCTCTCTGATACTGCAGCAGGAGTAGTTGTTAAATGCATCCTGTGTTTCTTTCTAGGTTATCAACATGGAATGGGGTAATTTTAGGTCATCCCATCTTCCGTTGACACAGTATGATCATGCGTTGGATACTAATAGTTTGAATCCTGGTGATCAGGTGATTGTTTGTCTGCTCCTATAACTTGTAATAGTAAGCTTGCTTTATGTTGCGACTAATTAGATGTATCTGAAGAATATTTCTGTTCACCCTAACAGATATTTGAGAAGATGACTTCTGGCATGTACTTGGGAGAAATTTTACGTAGAGTTCTGCTCAGGGTGGCCGAAGAAGCTGGCATTTTTGGTGATGAGGTCCCTCCAAAGCTCAAGAGTCCATTTGTATTGAGGTACTTCTTTGTAGCTTCAGAATTGTCGATTAATTATCCTCTAATGCAAATTGTATTATTAAATACCTAAAAAGCTGATCTTCACTAGTTCTCTCGGTAAATTATAACATGACTTGTGTTTCGTAGTATTCATTTCCTTCATGCTTAAGGAGCTTATCACTCCTTTCTTGGCTTTTCGAAGTTCCCTAGAGGCTGTACAGAGCTCAAGGGCTATATTTTCAGCTAGCTTGGGAAATCCTTTTTCACGTCTCTCTCTAATCCACTGATGCATTGAACTGGTAATTAGATAAAAGCCTTGCAAGTCAATGTCACTTGCTCTCTACAACATGTCTGGGTACTAGTAAGTAAGGAGTGTGAAATATGCCAGAGCTAAGATCGATTCAGAAATCCTTCAGTTAACTTTACTTTCTAATTCACTTGCTTCTCATGCCTTTCTAGTTTCCTTGAATCCTTGAAAGCGTCTGTTTTGTTTGTTTGTGCACATTCATACAGCTCCAGTGATTAAAACGTAAAACAATATGCAGGACACCTGATATGTCTGCTATGCATCATGACACATCATCTGATCTGAGAGTGGTTGGTGACAAGCTGAAGGATATTTTAGAGGTAGATATTATTGCTATTCAACACTTATCTAAATAAAAAAAAGGTTATCTTTCATTAGTGTCTTTATATATAACCGTTTAGGAAAAATAGGGATCTTTAAAACAAATTGGCACTTATTAGTTTCCTCATTGCTCACGGGGTATGGAATACACTGTTATTTTGCCTTGTCGAATAACTTGCACGAGAACTATATCACTTTTTCCTGTCACTCACATTGAAACAAAGGCTGGAAAGATTTGAACGATGGATAGATTTTCTTTGCTGTGAGAAAAAAACTGAAGAAGTATCAGATAGTGATGAATCAAATGGAAACTTTTGTTTGCAGTAATCACCTAGGAGTTCTACCCCTAAGATAGCGCCAAATTACACATGATATATGTGTAACACAAAATTATCTGACAAAAGTGCTTTGTCATAAAAAATCAATAACTGCAGAAGACAAGTGAAACTCACTTTTAAAGCACCCAACTTAAAGCTTTCAGAAGAAAATAATCACCATTTTAATTAGTATATTCAGAAAAGAAATATTTGATACATACTTTTGTATAGGTTATCTTTTAAGCTCTGCACAAAAATAAAGGGAAAAAAAGCTCTTTTGCAAGATGGAAAGGAAGAACATTTGAAGGTTTAAGATAGCTTTCTTGAATTGTTATAATATTTCCTGATTCATCCATAATATCGTAGAATTATCCACGAAATAAGACAAACAGATCTTTTCCTTGGGATATGGAAAAGAGATTTGAGATTTATTGATAGTTGTTCTCCATCAACGACTGCTTTAAATTTTGCTATAACTTTTACTTGATCATATATTTTCATATCACCAAACATGAATTCACACTTTTCTTTATTCTGCCATTTAGATATCTAATACCTCCTTGAAGACAAGGAGATTAGTCGTTGAGCTGTGCAACATTGTTGCAACACGAGGGGCAAGGCTTGCAGCTGCAGGTGTATTGGGCATCTTGAAGAAGATGGGAAGGGATACACCTAGGCAAGGTGGTCCAGAAAAGACGGTTGTAGCCATGGATGGCGGATTGTATGAGCACTATACAGAGTACAGGACGTGCTTAGAGAACACTTTGAAGGAATTGCTAGGAGATGAATTGGCGACAAGCATTGTTTTCGAGCACTCCAATGATGGTTCTGGCATTGGTGCTGCTCTTCTTGCTGCCTCTAACTCAATGTACCTTGAAGATAAGTCTTAGCAGTGATCAAATCCCTTTCTTGCTAGAGGAAACCACCTTTTACTCTTTATATTTTGCTCTCGAGCATTTTCTTCAATTTTTCTCCGGATTATACCATCAAGTATATTTAATAAATTTTCCCAGTACCTTTTTATCTCTAGGAAATTTTTCCTAGAAATGCCTACACATCTGGCATACCTTTTTTAGTCGCTCTCAGCACTGTTGGTTCTCTCTTTAATCTCTTTTTCATTTACTTTTGAAATCAAATTAGTAGGCATGCCTGTTTAGCCTGCCATGGATTAAAAATGGTCGTTCTGTCCTTTTCATTTCCAGTCATCAGCAATTTTCTTACTATTTGCTCTCAACTGCCTGTAATAGCTATGGGATTTTCCAAATGAAACAAATGGAGTGACAGCAAAAGCAAGCAAAATCTTTATTGATGTTACACAGAATAAAATTGTGGCTCAAACCAATTTAGACTAATTGGTCGTTTTGATAAAAATTTAATTTACTTCAATACTTTACTGAAAGCATATGGAATTTTAATTACCAAATCTTCTTTTTTGATAAAGCTGGGGATGGCTGGCTTGCACGCATTCCAATAATTCAATGCAGAGGCGGATTTAGAATTTGTTGAACATGGGTGCACCAATAAAAAAAAACTATGGAGTGGGAATTGATCCATGTTCCTCAAGGCAAATAACCCAATATTCAACCAAGAAATACCTAATTTGACGGTAAGACCATGGATTCACGTGCCCCTTAATTGGGACAATAGATCCGCCCCTGATTCAATGTGTATCGTAATGTATTTTTATCAAGGAGGGCAGTCAGGGTCGGAGAAGGGCAATGACTCATTCTTAGTTAGAATGGGATTCCAACTCAGCACCTTTTGAGTGAGATTTTGAGAAGAGTTGCTCTTTGGAGAGCACAGTACGATGAAAGTTGTAAGCTGTGTTCGGGGGGGAGTTATTGTCTATCGTTGGCCTCTATGGTAGAATCAGTCGGGGGACCTGAGAGGCGGTGGTTTACCCTGCGGCGGATGTCAGCGGTTCGAGTCCGCTTATCTCCAACTCGTGAACTTACATGTATACTCCTACGTAATTGTACCCACCAAGAGTTGAGGCAAATGGGCAGTATTCACCCAATATTGCCTCGGCTTGAATTCAAACCTTGATTTTTGAGGTTATTATTCCCTTTTTTTCACTCCAAGGTCACTACTTTGTTGTCTTTAGAATGTTGGGGTCATCCAATACTTTTTTGTAAATTCGGACATTATTTCTTTCATTGTAAAAAGTTTACGTGTAAGTAGCAACAAATTACAACTTGTATAGTTAAATTATTTGGAAAAATTTATAGCCAGAAAACTGTCTTGATTACCCAAAGAGGTAATATGAAACAGAATAGAGAGAGTATATTAGATCTGTCAATATTTGCAGCAAGGAACGGGAATAGTAGGTAGGACAGGGAGGAGGATGTAGCATTTCAGCTAATAAGGGTTCAACTACCTATAACTTTTTTTTTTTTTTTGATGAAGTCAACTACCTATAACTTTCAATACAAAATATAAATTTGTACTTAAAAACCTAATAAAATCTCGGCATATATAAAATTTGAACCCATAGTTATAACAGTACAATGAGTCAATATTAAATATCTTAAAAGTCGAACTATTAAATTTAAATCCTAAATTTACGCGTGTCTTTAGTAAAGGCTAGCTCCAAACAAGTTGAGATCAGCTATTCGGAAGCGGATAAAAACCCGTGAACAGGTGGGGAAGGAAAGCATTCGGCATTTTCACCAGCTGACACTGATGACTCATGCTACAGTAAAAATGTCAATAAGGGAATTTTCAGCAGCAGTGGTGCGCGTATTTACCCACCAGTATTCACTGATTTAGCTCAACGACAAAACCTTACATCATCTTACTTTGAGTGGGTTATTTCAATATAAATTTAAGAATTAAATGTATTCCGTACTAAATTAAAAGTAGTAGCTAAAATTAATATTACCCTTAATCCTGGAATATTATAATTTTCAACCAAGTGAGACCAGTAAAGCCTAATCATTTTACACATATAACTATGTATGTCCAGCATAATTATGATGTTAATTGCAAGTTAGGCAAATCAAGGTTAATAGTTTGCTGCTAATTTAGTGCTAATCCTCAAGGGAGAGAACGAACGGTTTACATTTAATTTTATAAAATTGCAGAAATTAACTAGAGGTAGCACGCATCTCTTAATCCTATGGATACAAAAAGAAAGCAATATTCATTTTTTGCCTTCCAAACACAAATATTAGCAGCAAATATTCATAATTTACATAAAACTTTTTGCTTCTACTACTTCAATAATAAAAATAAAAAACTTTCCAATTCCATGCAAAACAAGTCATTCTCTTCTTAGATACGGTGATTCTCAAGATTGCGCGTTAGATCAAATCATTAGGTCAGCTAATTCTGCTTATTTCCACCTGCAAATTAAAGCCACCAATCTTAATTTCCATGTTTAGTTTGGAGCACAATAATTTTATAAACAAATCAAATTAATTATAGGCAAACACAATTTGAAACTCACGAGTAAGAGTGGAGAGGTCTGAGCTTTTCAACACACGCAGCCTTTTCACAGTAGACACAAACATACTGAAAATGTCACAAGATTTGATATTATAGAACAAACCGATAAAACAACAAGAATAAATAGCAATCTTGAAGATTAATAATAGTTGTGTACTGTAGGGGTAAGTTATGCGTATACACTACCCTCCCCAGACCTCACTAATAAAATTTTAATGGGTCGTCTGCTTGGCAAACGAGTCGATTATTCATGACATTCTGTCATTATCGTGGGTCCTTCACTTTCATTACATCGATGTGGATTGCCTCTTTAGCAATAGAACTTTTCCAAACATTTGTAATTCGTGGTCTAATTAGACAACATCTTGTTTCGAAGATAGGAGTTGCCAAGAGTAAAATGCGAGAAAAAGAGCCGATTGTTTGAAAAATCCTTTAAGAAGTTATGCAAGGATTGTTGTTGCTGTAGTATTATAACCACTAACCAAATGCCATATCAGAATTCAGAAATGGGTTTCCATTATTGGTGCACTATGTCATAAACATGCATTTTAACACTAAAAAATACTCAATTATTGTCCTATGCATTTCTATTAAGAGCCTAAGAATTCTTCTACACTAAAGATACAAAGATTTCAGACAGAAAAAACGTGCAGCTAATTGTTATCCATATAAATTATACTAGCATTAAGATCTAACAACAGAATATTAAAAGAGAATCAGATCTATAAGATGGGAAATAAGATGCTTACTGCCAAGGAACATCCCCAACAAGCATTCTGTCACCTTCATTATCCTCATAAACAAGCGTATATTCGCCACTTCCGTCCAATAATCCTCTTATCGCTTTCTCTCCTTCTTCCTTCTTCTCTTTCCCACCACCAGATTGATCACTTTGAGCTTCATTAACACAACACCAATACATAAAAGTTAGAATTTCCAGTTCAAGACCCCACTTCTTAAAATAAAGGACAACCTGACGCGCTAAACTCTCGCTATGCGTGAAACAATGGCGAATCCAGGAATTGCATTTAGACTATTCCAACTTGAAATAAGTAAGTAAAATCTCTGATAAAGGATATTCAATATACGTTATATACCATTAAAATCTATATTTTACCTATAGCTACAGCGTAATTTTTCGATGAAGGGTGGTAAGTTGACAACCCTTAGAGCTACGTAACAGGGGCAAAGGCCAGGGGAACGGCCGGAACAAGGGTTTATTGTACGCAGCCTTACCCTGCATTTCTGCAAGAGGCTGTTTACACGATTCGAACCTTTGACCTCCTGGTCACATGGATGCAACTTTACCAGTTACGCCAAGGCTCCCTTCAGCCCGCTTCTTAAAATAAAGATTCTAAAATTGAAAGAGTTTACTTAATATATGTCAATACATGTTATAGCAGGTTCCGCATTTTCAAGATTATATAAGTTTTGACTTTTACCGGTCGATTCGATATATATAAGTTAAACTCTAAAAAGAATATAGTAATAAATTATTAACCTGCAAGAAGGCCTCTAAAGAGTTCATCAACAGCAGAGGAGAGTTTATCATAGCTGTCATAAGCTTTGAGATCTACTTTCCTTCCAATAGGAATACCATCCATATTGATCTTAACAAATAATCCTTTCTGACAAATTTCCATTGGTTTTTTGTTGGCATCACTCTTATTTGGGACCACATTTTGTGACTCAGTCACAGGTTTCAAAGAGCTGCTGCTACTTGCAATATTCTTCCTAAATGAACGAATTGGAGGCCAACCCACCACTGGTGCTGGTGCTGGTGCAGTCCTATTTTTTAAAGAATTAAACAAGTAACACCAGTTAGTTCCAAGAATAAAATTGTTACTATTATCTGGAACTTGTAAATAATTAGGATAATAAAGGCCAGCCAACTTTAAATTATTTTATATAAATAAACGCCGAAAGCAAACATTGGGAAAATTAGAGCATCACAACAAGCTAGAGATGTGTGAAAAAGAAGAGTTTAATTCTATGTACGTTATATAAGTTTTTGAAACCATCAAAGTACAATAAATAAATCGAGTGATAACTTGCTATAACCCGTTAAATTAAAATGAATTGCGCACAATTAGTGCTATGCGAACATGTATAGATGTCTAAATCGTTCGTTAAATTGACCTATAACAACATGTGACTAATAACATGCTATAACATGTAACATATAACTTAAATCCAAAATATTATTCTAAAATAAGGAAAGAATTGCCTAAATTTCCGGGTAATCAAAAGTTGTGTACACGGAACTATGTTATAGCACGAAAAGGATATGTAACAAACAAAAAAGAAACACGGCTCTAATATGATTCAACATTTTTGTACCATATCATAAAAATGGTTAGGCACTGAGAAAATAAGGCACTATTTGTTGTTTGACTGACACAATTAAACGAAATAAATGTTAGTACTATAAATTTGCTTTCTTTTTTTAAAAGATGAAGATTAAAAGCAGAGACCAACTTTCAAAAGTAGGTGCAATTAATGAACTGAAAATAAATAAAAAATACATTGTACTGATCTGCAAATCACATTACACTAGAACAGACAAATATTACAAGGTGAAATGAAAGCATTTTGTGCATAGGACCACAACAGCACCTGACATGGAGTGTAATAGTGAATATCCTCTGTCAAAAAAAAAAAAGTAAAGTAAAAACAAATAAAGGGAGCAAAAAGCTGAGTTACCTTTTCTGAGCACTGTTGGGGACAGGACCTGTTTTTGTAGCTGGTGAAAATGCCTTCTTTTCTGCATCATTTACTGTTTTAATACAACCAGCTGTCTGTAATGATTCCTGTGTCATCACACTCTGTTTCTGTGGTGTTGATTGAAGCTGAAGAAATGAAGAAAACTTCTGCTGTTTAACTTGGCTTCCATTGTTGGTACTGATATTGTAACCAAAAGGGAAAAGGGTTTCATCCTTTTCTTTAGACCAGTCTCCGTTTGGCGGACCAAGCCTTAACTCGAGCTTTTTCTCCTCGTTTGTTGAATAACCTTCCATTTCTTTAACTTTCTTATATATATTCAACGTCAATAATAATGAAATACAAGAACAAACTCCGTTTGATATCTACCTAAGTAACTTCCTGCATAAAAGAAGAGAACATCATGTTTACAAGAAATTTACGTTTAATAATAAACTATGGTTAAAAACATGGCAAAAGGTCATGGAAAGTTGAAGATCGTTGTTCTAAATACCTTGAGTTTCAACCAAAGCTTCAAGTAACAGAAACCCACATATTGATAGAGAAAAATACTGTGTATAAGTTCTCTGAAACCAGATGATCTAATACAAGGAACCCCACAAAGACAAAGAAAAATAAGACAAGAAAAGGATGAAGAGCTATTATATCTGGTGATGACTAATATATTTTCTGAGAGTGAGAGTGGGTTTTATCTTGAGAGTATTCAAGACTGAAGAATAGAGTTAATAGAGAGAGAGAATAGCAGAAGATGTATATAAAAGGAAGCAAGTAATATAAGAGGGAGAGTTATGTATATAGGGAATAGGGGGGGGGCGGGGGGAGATTCTCTACACTAAAAGGAACGGACCCAATCCTAAAAACAGCAAACGGAATTGTAGCAAAACTCACGCAACCACAACCCCCCAAAACTTTTTTTGTTGTATTTTGTTTGGTTCATTAAGCAAAGCGTGCTGTGCTGACCACCCTTTTTTTTTACCTTTTCCCTCTCTCATATATGCTCACATACACACATTTAAATAGCACCGGCTAGCCAGTTTTTGGACTGGTAATTAAAAAAAGTCAGTATTTATAAAATTATCGAATAATAGCCACTATTTTACTGCAACACGAAAAGTTCCAGCATAATATACTGGAGATAAGTTCCAGCATAATATACTGGAGATTGGTACACCTATGTATGAACTACCAGTATAATATACGGGAGATTGAAGCACATGTGTATGAACTTCCACAATCTTATGCTGGACCAGTATATTATACTGGAACTTCAGTATTATACCGGAACTCCAGTATATTATGCTGGAAGTCTAGTATATATTATACTGGAACTTCAGTAGATTATGCTAGAATATTTTTCATATTTTGAACAGTATTTACGTTCAAATTTATCTTTACATGAAAAGTAACTAAATTTCGATTATTTTTAAAACTGTGACCGTTTTCAATTACCATTTGTAAATGTGGCTATTTTTTAATTTTAATCCAGTTTTGACTCTCTCTCTCTATCTTTAGAGCTAAAGAAAAAAAGAAAAAACTTTATCTGAAGCCACTTAGTATGACTCAACTCTACAGAAACCTATAGGATTAGCACACTAACCGAGACATACCCAAAGATCTTTTTAATTTAGTTAATTAATTACTATTAGTAAAGAATTCAGTAAACCCGCAGAAAGTCAAGCCTCACTAAAAAGAAGTGTGAATAGTGTGTTGCTTCTAGCAATGAAAGTCTTCTGAACCACTTCAAGTAATGTTTAAGTAAAGTAACATTAAGATTAGAAAGTGACTTGATCCTTAATTTGGGGATGGCTTATTCTTAATTGTAACAAACCCGGGTTAGAAAATTGACTCTTGCTATTTGTTTATGAATTAAACTTAACTTGCTCGAACAACTTAAAGTTTTTTTTACCCTATCACAAAAGCGAATTAAAATTTTTAAACTCGATAGATTCAATCGTAAGATTGTCGCGGCGAACTTCCTGTATTTTTAAATTATAATATTCATTGAAATTTTAGTGAAGTATATGTATTTTATTAAAGATTCATTGACAAAATTCTTCGGTCAAGTACTCTAATTATTAGTGTGTTTTAATTGCAGATATTTTGTCTAATTTGCCATTTCTACTTAATAATTATTATTAAATGATTTGATAATGTAAAANTTTATATATATATATATATATATATATATATATATATATATATAAAATAAATTCCTAGTTAATAGTACTGGAGAAAGACTAAGAAGAGAAATAGAGATAAAGACAAAAACAAAGGTGCAATAAAAACATGCAGATCCCATGATTTTGTCTGCTTCTTTCGATTCTTAATAATACTGTCCACAGTCAAATTACGCACTGTAATTACTTCATCACCATTAAATAAAGCCACTTCTTTTTGGTTTTGACTAATTACCGAATTTTGTGTGATGGAACAGTAAATTATATCTCAAGCTATTGCAATTAGGAGTAGTAGGTTTTGTTGTTTCCTTAAAGTCAAACATTTTATCACTAACAGCTTATTAGTTTCTTTAATTGCTTTTGATTTCCGCTTAAGTTTGACATTACTAAGTTCTAAACAAGGTCAGAATAATAAAGCTACACGTCACAACTTTGAATTTAGACAAATTTAATTAGGTTCCTCACGTGTGGGTTTTGGCTTCTCTTACTATATATTCTCAGTTCAATGGTAAGAAACCTACCTGCTTTGGTCTAAAACTTTGAAAATGATATGTATACATGTCTCTAATATGTATGTATGTATTAAAATTATCTTGGTCAAACAAGGAATTCTCCTCCCTTTGTACCAAGTGCTGGTGACATTTTGGTCTTGTTTTACTCCATGAGACCACATTTAATATGTCTTGTCATATCAACCTCTACAGTTGATTGGTAAGTATACCGAATTGACAACTAGTCGTGCATTCCCTTAATTGGCATGACGAAGATTATATAGGCTTAATCAAAATATTAAGATTTTTACAGGGATGAACAAGTTTAGACTAATTAATCATTGCACCAAACCTTTTCGGTTTGGAACTTCTAGTAATTGTGTATGAGTGATCACCGGAAAAAGTGAAATGCAATAGTACTTTGAGCCACTAATTAAGATAGTAAAAGATTAGGGTGGCGTTTGGACATAAGAATTGTGATATTTGGAAAAAAATGAATCAAGTGAAAATGATATTTGAAAAGTTATAGTTATGTTTGGAGATGAATACATTTTACAGCTTGTTTGGATGGTTGTTACTTATCGTATCGTATCGTATTGTTACTTTAAATACAATGTTTGTTTTGATTGTTACTTAAATTTTATTGTATCATATCGTTAAATACGTCGTTATGTAACGATGAAATGTCCACTTTATGTAATGACCGATTTGGTGTGGTCACGTCGTTTCCTTGTGTTTTTCTCTCATATCACAGGTGTGTTACCATGAAACGACGCCAAAACGACACAATCCATCCAAACATTGTATTCATCAAACGATGCGATACAGTACAATGCAATACGATACGATACATTATGAAACGATACGTAACAACCATCCAAACAAGTTATTAAGCTATTTTTGAATTTTGTGAGTGATTGGAAGCGAAAATTTTGAAAAACAACTTATTTAGAAACTTCAAAATTCAACTTCATTTGAAAATTAAAATTGATTTTTTTTTTAAAAAAAAAAAAGTGAAAGAATTCTAATGGCCAAATAGACCCTAGATCTTTTGGGAAATGTAGGCGAATATTTGATCAAAGTAGGGGCTCGAAAAGATAATGTATCATAGAGCTCTAGCTAGAATATCTGTTTCTTATAAACGCTCGGCTTGGAAAACTGTATTATAAAGGAAAGTACTCCCTTTATTCCAATTTGTGTAAACCTATTTGACTAGATACGGAGTTTAAGAAAAAACGATGACTTTTGAAATTTGTGGTTCTAAACAAGTTAAAATAGGGCCTAGAGTATTTGTCCGGTTATAAAAGCTTCTCATTAAGGGTAGAATTGAAAGTTTAAGCTAAATTATTTCTAAATTTAAAAATAAGTCATTCTTTTTTAAACGGCCAAAAGAAAATATGTTCACTTAAGCAGGAATGGAGAGAGTATAAATAATAGAAAACATAGAAATAATATTGCAAGTTAGCAACATGTGATGAGAGTGGATCTTTTGGGATTTGGGAAAAAGAACGAACGGAGTATTGGAGAATCGGGAGTTTGTGTCGACTGCAGTACGTAGAGTTTGGATACTGAGCAACGCCATCTCAACCTTTGGTACTCCACATTTGCCACGTGTCCTGCTTTTACGTGTTTTCTATGTTTTTCCATTTAACATCTTTTATGGCGTTTGTATAACATTCGACGCTTCTTATTTACAGTATTTTGGTTTCCGACCATCAAACATGCTAAAGAGCTTTTAATGCCTCTATTGCTCAAGTCGGCGGTATAATTAACCGCCTGTCCTCCATTTTTCTACTATCACTACTTTTTTCTAATATATTATAAGAAATTATTTATTATTATTTTATAATTGTCAATCAAACTTAGGGATCGTTTGCCAGGGTGCATAATGTTGAATAGGGTGTATTAGTAATGCTACTATTAGTTAAGTTTGCATTATACTTGGATGAGTTAAAATTAGGTCGAGTTTGGTGAATGCAAACGGACGAGCTGAGGCTGAGGTCAAAGTCAAGCACGGCCCAGTGGCGAGGAGTCGCCTAGAGAGAAAGATTGTGTAACTGAAAATTAAACTACCCTCTTCAATTTTCCCTCTTTATTTTCCCTCTTTATTGTTGAGTAAATAACCATTTATGTTATGGCATTTATGCTGTGGCTGTTTTGCATAAACAACCATTCTGAAGGGTTGCACCTCCTCAGATTCAGCCCAACATTGGCTATAAATACAAGTCCATTCTGCTAAGAATTTCAATACGATTTTCTGAGTTTCTCCTCCTTCTTCTGCATTGTTTTAACTTCACAGAAAGCAACAGTAAGTGTGATTTGCTACAGAACTTCGTGTTCGCTGAAACACTGGGGTTTGAAGTACCACTACACTAGTGTGCAATTCGTTCTATCCTGGAACGAAATAATCCATAACCTTGGGTACTAGGAGGGGATTAAATTCCATAGGGAAACACTGTGAATTCAGTGGGCTCGGATTAAATTTTTTTCTGTTTATGTTATTTCATTTTCTCCAGAATTATTTTACAAATACAGTTTAGTAACAAGCTTAAGGAATTTAATTTGTATTCTTTATTTGTGTTATATTTACTGTTTTGGAGTTTAAAACCTTTGTGGTTTTTTACTCTGTTGGAGATTAAAATCTACGTGATTTTAACGTTTCTTTGTGTCATTCTTTTACAGAAATGACTAATGATAACGGGAACCAGGCTGTTCCAATGGTGACTGCCAATGCATCAACAAGCCGAACACCGGCGGAGAAACCCGAAAAATTTTTCGGGTTTGATTTCAAGCGGTGGCAGCAGAAGATATTCTTCTACTTGACTACTTTAAGTCTGCAGAAATTCATCAAGGAAGATGTTCATGTTCTACCTGAAGAAACTCCAGAGAATGAACGCTTTCTCGTGATTGAGGCGTGAAAGCATTCTGATTTTCTGTTCAAGAATTATGTTCTTAGCGGACTGGAGGACGATTTGTATAATGTCTACAATGGCGTGGAGACGTCAAAAGAATTGTGGACTGCGCTTGAAAAGAAATAAAAAACTGAAGATGTCGGGTTGAAGAAATTCGTTGCCGCCAAGTTTTTGGACTACAAAATGGTAGATAGC